CTCCTGGAAACCAGAAACCATTGCCTACCTACCAGAAATGCTGCAGAAAAAACAACAACTGTAATATATCATGGCTTTCAATTCTCATCCCTGCAAAGTTAACCTTCCATTTGCTAAAATAAGTTAAATTTACAACTTGTGGGTTTAGTAATACTTGAGTAAGTCAGCAATGCATATGGGAAACTGATGGCAAATGAACAAATCCAGAACAAATTGTGCCGACCAGAAAAAATATCTTTAACAGAAACTGGACCTATTCTCACACAATATATAACTATTGCCACAAGAAGATGGAAGGTGATGTCCGCCATTTGTCTATTGTATATTATGAAATTATTGTATTAAAAGGTTTCAAATGCTAAAATACCTTTTGGATGTTATAATCAGACAGAGTACGTCCATCTTCCAATTGTTTGCCAGCAAAAATTAAACGCTGTTGGTCAGGAGGAATCCCTAGTGGGGAAAAAGTAAAGGTTTTTGTTGTATTTTAAGCAATTATTCTCAATTCATTTATTTCACTGTTTGTTAATCCTAATCAATTCTGCTTTGTGAAGGGCAGATACATTTCAAATACTGTCAGGTTATAAAATATCACAGTAAATATATCAAATATCTCTTGAGAAACTTCTCAATAACTATAAAGCTTTTGTTAATCTTAATTGGCCCTTTTAAATTTGAAAGATACGGGTGCATTAAATAAGCTTTTATGAAGTGCAAGTCTCTAAACTTGGTTGTTTGCTTGAAGACATTTCATAACCCAACTAGGTAACATCATTAGTGCTAGTGTGGAATTTGTTCCCAGATAAGCAGGGATTAACACTAGACAAAAATGAAGAAAAACAACATCCTAATCAAGGATCTCACAGGGTTGTTTGTGTATGTTCACCACCTTGAGTTACCTATAAAGTAAGCAAAGGCAGCATAAGTAGTCTATAACCAAGGAGAAAACCATACCAACACTGGCAGAATAAGCTGCTGTATCTAAACAGAGAACTAACCCTGCATTTACTAACACTGATGATGCTAACCAGTTTGGCACTAATATGTCTGCAGACAAACAACCAAGCTCAGAGATCATCAAGGACTCTATAGTTCAACCCTGAGCTACAAACACATTCTCTTCTAATGAGCCATTATATTATAAATCATTTGTTGGAACTGGAATTAGCAGAAGAGTCAACAGAATTTAGAATTACTTAGAAGCACTAAACAACTTGGTACAAGTTTATTTACAGAATAATATTCCCCAATTAAGTCTCTGGACAAAAGAAACATTTTTGGTATTGTCTTAGTACTGCAACCTCATAGATATAATTAAATAAATTATAGTAAATAATACATTTGGAAAAGTGAACACAATAGGATATATTAAATAATACACAGAGCCAAAATACTTTTATGACTTGCAACATCTTCATATGCATTTTATGAATTTCTCAGGACTATTGAATATGCTGATCAAATAACTTAAACTTTAATTTTATGCCCTATTGCTGTTTGCTGATTAATTCCTTTTTATGAGTTATTTAATTTTTTAAACAAAGAAATTAGATTTAGCAAAATTAGATTTAAAATATTTAGCAACTGATAAATATTAAAAGGTGATACTTCCAGCATTGTATTATCATAAGGTAGTTTAAAATCATGATGTATTAAAGATTACAGCGTGTACAACATTCACATCAGTTGTCTGTTTTCTGCATAGAAAGATCCCCCACTCTTTCATCACAAAGGAGCACTCCAGATTAAACATGACATATATCTGGAAGAATAAAATCCCGTTCATCCAGTGGTGGCTGTATCCATAGATTGAGATCTGAATAAAAGCAGCCATCTACCCATATCTCCTAATAATTACCTAATCTCTGCTTAATATATTTATACAGTCACAACGACTTCTGTATTTTTCCTTTTTTTTCAAATGACAGAAAATAATTACTGTCAGATTTTATGTACAGTACTGCCTTCCATAATTGTCTTGACTAAAATCCTCTTGCATGTATGAAATCACCAAATTGGGCAATCTGGCTAGTGGATGGTGAGAGTTGAGTGTATTATGGCTGGAAGGCACACCAGACTGTTGAAGAGTTGCTCAACAATTTGCTTTTAATGTACATAAGGGGTATACAAAGGAAGGAAGGAAAGGTGCTGGAGAGAAAGATCAGTGAGACAAAAGCAGTGGATATGGGAAGGAGGGAAAGGTGCTAGGAAAATCAGGAAACAGGTGGACAGACTGATATGCCAACTTAAACACTGGCAGTGATAACTGAGGAGAGAAAACTGGCAGACAGGCAATCCAGTGAGATGCCATGCTGATAGCCCCAAGGAAAGAGAACAATTTGCACCAACCTTGCCAAATTTGCCTATAGGATAAGGCTTTTATTTGATCTAAAGCCAGATAACCAAAGTATTCTAGGTTGTTTCTAATAAATCGCTAGTCTGAAACAACAAAGTAGGACTTTTGGAATGTATTGGTTTCTTCTGGGTTCAAAATAAAATATTTTTCCATTTTATACAGATCTATTATCGTGAAATAACTGAATTTAGGAGAGCAGCATAAAAGAAGTTTATCCAGCATAATTTTACAAATATAGTTTTATTGTTTCCAATTATTGTTTTTTTTACTTGCGGTGTAAACTGCCCAGAGTAATTTAGGACATAAACCATTCCCAAGTCTCATAAATTATAGCACACCCACCTTCTTTATCCTGGATCTTGGCTTTGACATTTTCTATAGTATCAGATGGTTCAACCTGTTGTAAAAGTTTTAAATTGCACTGAAAGGCTTATACAGTCAAACTAGTTATACATAAACATATTGTACTTGGTTGCACAGTCAGCCAGATGTTTAGACTAGATTTGGCAGTTTTGTCTATTAATCCCTTCCCTATGACCTTTGATAGTCAGATGTTTCATGGTGTTAAAAGGTATCATAGTATTTAAGCTATTCCTAAGTATGTAAGCTATTCCAAGTAAAATTGCCCTTTTGCAATTGACTCAGTCATTTTATCAATGCTAGTGTTCAAATGACACTCCCATGTCTTGAAATTGCACTCAAGGTGCCTATTATTACAGGTACTGTAGTTGCTATCATCATAATTGTCCTACTTCCATTTGCAGGTGTTTTTATCTTGTCACTGTCTCCAGTTCATACTCTTCTACTCTGCTGTTTCCAGGTGTTGCATGTCCATTGTCCAGACTCTTATGAACAATTGTTTTGTTTGGGGTGTTGTTGTGTTGCAGATGTTTGTGTGTTGAATTCTACAGCATTTTAGCTTCTTCATTTCCTAATACAGCTATTGCTGATTTCTCAATTCTGGCTTTATAAGCTTATTAAAACAGGGTCAAATTAAAAAGGTCTATTAGACTATAAAATATTTTACTATTTCAGCTTAAAAGCACTTCTTGTAGAATCTGTTGCCCTTGGCATTATAACTTCAATTCTACCAAAGGGTTATGTCTAAAATTCATTTTAAGCCGTACTTATATCCTTATATTTGGAATTATGAAGAGCTTTTCTTCTTTTTTGATGAAAATGACCACCAATACTTTAACATGCTTCATTATATATCACATGCACAGTTGAGGAAAAGCAAAAGCAATTAAATGAACATGAAAACAGGTAAACATTACAGAAATAGTATATTCCTAATATTTATTTTTGTAATTTAAAATGCTATCTGCTACCCTTCCAAGCAAAGTTTCCTTCAAGATGGCTTAGTTTCAGCTAAGTTTAGTTTACTTTGATATCAAGTATATAAAAGATAGGAATAGCATAAAGTATATCTTAAAACAGCCCAAAATATGTAACAAAATAATAAGGGATTCATAATGGGTAGCACAGGATATTGGGTGTAAAATTAATTGAGAACATGACAAATATTTCACTCTAGCAATTTATCCCATTTCAAAGCTTTAATTATTTCAGTATTTTTAATCTCCAGGCAAAAAGCAGGTAAATCGTTTTCTAGAAATACACAAGGAACAAAAGTTCATTTGATTAAATTAATCTGCACTACACAAAATGAACTGTTTGCCCTCATGTCTTCTTGTGGGTTGGCTACCACGGGACTTGAGATGCTAAGAGGCCTTTGCAGTAACTTCTTTTTCTGACCCACTTTACCTACACTAGAAACAGCATTAAATCATATCTGCAACTATTTCGGGACTTTTGTGGATGGATGAAAAAAACGGAGCAGAAATTTGAATACTGCAAACTCTCTATCATCTGCATTTTCTGCATAGACCTCCAGCTTTCTAAGCAATGCCATCTTCACCTTCATCCTTTAAGCCTGTGCAAAAATTATAACCTTCCTATTCGTTTACTTCTTTGTAGCATTATTTCATTGACGAAAATACCGTTTTTCTTCGCTCATCTCCTCGCTTCAACGCCCACGGGGAAGAGGCTTCTAACTTCCATTCTGCAGCGAGGCACCATTTTCCCACAATCTAACGATCCCGCGACAAAATGCCCACTGACACCCCAAAAGAGAGCAACAGAAAGGAGAAGGGAACCGGTTTGAAAAGGGCACCGGTTAAAAGTCCGCAGACTAACCACCCTGCTGCCTTCCTCACCTCGAGGGTAATGGTTTTCCCCGTCAGGGTCTTCACGAAGATCTGCATGACGGCGGTAGAGCGCCTAGTGATGGTTGTACCTAGAGGGGGGAAAAACAGCGAAAAATCAAGGCTTCGGTCAGCGCCAACCCTGAGAAATAAAAGACATTCCAAGTAGGCCAAGAGCTCACCCACCACCCGCTCTCAGAATGGCCGACGCCGGAAAGAGAGGCTGCCCCGCTGAGCACGGGGTTTCCGAGCCTTGAAACAAGGAAGAAGGGCCATGCGTTGCCACACCGTAGGACTACAATCTCCAGTACTCATTTCCTTTCGAAATTATTGAAAAGCATGATGGGAGTAGTAGTTTTAGTTAAACGGCGGTTCCTAGTGGAGAAAGTCTACGTCCGGATAAGTCGCGGAAGAATCATCAGGATTCTAAGCCGAATGTTAAGTAACCGGAAGTGGGAGAAAGGAAGTGGGGAGGAAAACTACACTTCCCACCAGTCCCCCAAAGGCCGCTAGTTTCCTTTCCCTTCCTGATTAACAGTTCCGCCTTGTTGTTACCAACAGTTGGTTTCTAGGAGAGTTTAGTTGGATGGAAGAGGTGGGTTTTCCTTGGCAGCATCTGGAGACAAACGAATAGGCCGCTTTCTTAACGGCCTCTCGTGAGAGCGAGAGAGTTGAGGGCTTTGCGTTGAGAACCCAGAGACTGCTAGGAAAAGGCAGATGGAGTCCTTCACTGTGATGCTGAGTCTACAGACATAAGTATTATTAGTCAAAAATGGTGTTATAGAAATGTTTCCAAAGGGTCTAAAATATTTCAATGATGTATCAGGAAGTAAAATAGGTTAAGAATTTTTTTAAAAAAATAATTTCCATTTAGTTTTTAAACAACAGAATAAATGTTTAGAATAAAACAAGTATATTAAATTAAAACAATATACTTTTTTTAAAAAAAAAATCAAATACTGTTGACATTAACAATAACAAAAATTACCAATAATATAATGTAAGTGAAACACTAACTTTTCCACATATCAAAAGACTATTATATTCATTGTTACAAGACAGTTTTTAAAGAAGAAAGTTGTTTGAATTGTTTAAACTTATGCCATTGGTAGTCATACTGTCTGTTCTGTCTGTTCTCCAGTCTAAAGACTAAGAATTGACCACAAATATTTGATGGTGATTTTTTTATCTGTTTGCTTATGTGACCCTTGTGTGCTACTGGCAAATAAATGCCAAGTCTCTGAAATGAGATTGCATCCAGTCATGAGTCAGTGATTGATAAGTACACAGATCGGTGTGCATTACTGAGACCTAGGCTAGGCAAAAGCAGGGGTGGGTTTCTATCTGTTCTGTCCACCTCTGTAGAACCGGTTCTATGTCTGCTGATGTTTTTGCCCACCCGGGCTCTTACCTGATCTTTATTTCCTGATTTTTCAACTTCAGCTGCCAAACGAGGCACAGCTGCAGTTAAAAAAACAAGAAAAGGGCTGTTTTAACAGGTGCGTGGCTCACAGCGGGTAGGGAAGCTCATAAATCCCGAACCGGAAGTTAACCCTGTCGTATCCCACCCCTGGGTAAAAGTCATGATGCCATTCAAAATCTGCCCAGCTGAGACCTACATTATATCTTACATTAGCCTTGAGGGGAGCTGGAGACCAACATTAATTACATCCTATATATTAACCTTGAGGGTGTGGCATTGGTCTATTGTTCTTAAAGCAGTACTGGAGTTGGGCTGTTGAGAAGATGGAGGTCCTGTTATATTGGCTATTTGCCTCCCCGCAGATTTCCTCCCTTGGCTTCTTGACCTGGTGATTGGGCTGGTGATAAAGACCCCTCACCTGCCTTTTGATGTTGGGGATCTTCAGCCTCGTGTTGTGCACTTATTCTGGCCAGGGCCTCCATAGAGTGTCTGTCTTTGAAGATCTTTCAGAAGCTGCATTTGGTTCAGAGTGCAGCACCCCATGTGCTTACTGATTGCACAATACACGACTGTATACTTGTTGCCAACAGGCTTCTGAGTAGAATTTAAAATGCTAGTGCAAATCTATAAAGCCATATATAGCTTAGGGTCTAGTTGTGTACAAGATTATATTGTGCCATTGGAACTCGGCTTGCCAATTTAATGGAAGGAGCTGGTACTAGTTCCCCCTTTTAGGGAAGTACGTGGGAGTAAGGTGAGACAGCCCTGTTTTTCAGTGACAGCCTTTCTTCTGGAATGGCCTTCCAATGGACAATTGGTTTGTCATAGTATTATCATAGCAATAGTAGTAAAATCTTACAATAAGGAACCATCTCTGGTCACATGCAGGTACAGGCTCTAACATTCCTTCAAAGTTATTGTAATGACTTTGTAAAATTGTAATTATTACATCTGCAGAATAGACAGATAATAGACAACCAATAAGCCTGAATATTTTTTCTGAACAAGCCAATCTTAAATTGTACTTAACATTTTTTTGGAGTCTGAAATGATTTATTTTATGGTATAGGTCAGGATATTCCAATTCTGTATTACAGATGGCAGATTATAATGAAAAACACTTCAAAATATTTATCTGAAAATGATTATATCTGAAAAAACATTTTATGTTGATGACAGTCTAAGTATTTCAAAATGGATATTTAATATACTAAACATAAAATTTAAAAATCCTTTCAGCTTTGTAAAATTCAAGCTTGGAAATATTTTGTTCCTAACTTATGGTTCAGTTTCCCATTCAGCAATCCACAGTTACCTGATAATTTATTATCAATGAATTCAATAAGAGGTATTTGAGACCTTGCTATTACACACAACCTCTTCCTCCATATTGAATTTCATATCGCACTAGGGGCACTGCAACTAAATTTAGTTTATGGTCCTTAGTTTACCTGGAAATAAGCCATGTAGAATGCATTTTTAAAATTGGTGTGTTAGATGAATTTTCATTTCTTTTATTGATGTGGCATTATTTTTAGGTTTGACTGAAGCATGTCTTCTGATCAGAGTAAGGGCCTGATACCTTAGTTGCTATCTGCAACAGAAATTTAGATGTCTCCTGCACCATGAAATCAGCCAGTGTTGGAGCCAGTAAACACTCAGTGCTTCCTCCCATCATCCCAGAGACTGAGAAAGAATTTCTGGAGGGCATTCAGAGTTATATCATTTCAGAAATTGAAAAAGTGGGCTGTACTGAGCAAGGACCAGCAGAGGATTATTACATAATATACAGAAATGTGTTTGAAATGGTAACTAAACACTTATAAAGATATTCCAATTTTCATGATGAGTGAGTGTGATCTTTTTGGCTTTGATATATTGACTGACTTATGCTGAAATCAGTACAATAATAATATGTAGCATGAACTAGCGAGGTGACTTCATTTCTTATAACATTCTCTGCTAGTCTATTAATAGTAATGCTGATTGATGTTTTTCAATTGTAAATGTTCAATTGTAAAAGTATGTTAGATAGCCTCAGAGACTACCAGGTGTACCATAGGTACTGGACCACAATATGTTACGTAGAGAAACAAGTCCTCAAGCAAATCATTTAAATATGCTGGTTGTTCTACATAGCCTAATATCTTGGTTTGATAAATATGCTTATGAAAGAAGCATTTGGCTAACAGGCCACTTTAAAGATTTTGTTTTTCCACTAATCCATGAGAAGAAAGGGGATTATATATTTGTTTCCCCTAAACTGTTTTTTAAAAAAGCCCATAAACTAAAAATGGTTGGAAAAGCAACAAGAATTAAATTATTTTAGATTTAGTCAGATTAGCCCTCAATTAATCTGGTGCTACTTTTCTGGGTGTATAAATTATCTAGAGGTTCTGCTGGACCATGTGGTGTAGCTCAAACAGGATCCTAGGTTGCATTCTTCTTGTATTTGTATTTAGGTCTCATTCACTTTGAGGAGCAGCCTAGGAAAGTGTGGCATCCCTCCTAAACAAAGAAAGAATAAATACCGTAGGCTGGGACACACTATCTTTCTTCAATCTCTCACCTAAAACAAATCCTGCCCTGTTTTCTGGCAGTGTTGATATGTTCTTGACATTCTGATTGTTCCATCCTCTTCTATGAGTTTTAAGATGTTTTGTGTGCTTTAAGATGAGGGAAAGTGCTAATATAAGATAACTTTATTATGAACTTTTTTGAAAGCTTGAATTTAGAAGTATGAATGCGGTGTTTGAGGAATAAAAAGAAATATTAATTGCATTAATTTCCTGCTGATGAACTTTCCAGAAGCATCTACCTACCAATGATGGGGAGCAGGATAGCATGTTAAAATTGTCTTTTGTTTTGATTCAGGAAGACTTTTTTTTAAACCTGCAGTAATGTCAGCTCTTTTTATTGTATTACTAATTATTTATTTATTGTATCACTATTAAAGAGTGTTGACACGTAATCAATTTCTGTATTGTTAAAACAGATAATTGAGCATGTTAATGCATACAAAAGCATTTTGACCACTATCAAGCAAGAATATGATGCTTTTATAGAAGCAATAAAGAAGGGCCAGCATGATGCATTTTATCTTCATGGAAAATTAAAAACGTTAGCATGCGAATCTTCAACTTTAATGTATTATAAGAAAAGAATAACTCAACTGGAAGAAAAGTAAGAACCTCTTTCACGCTTTTGCAGGGGTGGGGTGTTCAAAGCACAATTTTGAACTAGTCTCTTGTATAGTGACATGATCTGATTTGAAAGTGCTAATACTGTATGGTGTTTTTTTCATTTTTAAAAAAGCATTTGTATCTTACACATTTGTGGATGCTTACAGAATTAATATTATATCTAATGAAAGTTAGGTTTAGAAAACAAAGGCAAATAAGCAAGAAGTACTATTTTTATGTATCATAATTTCAGACACTACCGCAGATGTCCAAGTAGAATGACATTGGAGTTTGCATGCTATCAGATAATGATAGCTAGCAAATTTGACATGAAACAAATGTATCTGCAGCATAATAGTGTATCACAATATGCAGAATAATTCCATGGCATCATTGGTTGGGTAAAATTAAGTGTTATACTTCATTGAATGGTGATAATGGAAGAATCAGGTGTTGATTTTGGGGAAAAACTGCAACAATCTTGCAAATCAGAAGGCTTCCTGTGAACATGGCTGACAGTTGACATGCCCAGAAAGGCTTCTTTCTCTGGATTGCCGTTTTTTTCAACTTATTAACAGAAGGAAGAGGCATTCCTTTCATTTATATGACTCTTCGGGTTTAGGAAAAGTCCTAGAATCATACCACAAGATCCTCTATACAGCAGTACTTCAGGAGTTGGTGAACCATTTAGCTGGGGGAGATGGGGGAGCAGGACTGCAATCACTCCATTGTCAGAAAAGCATCCATTTTGGAATTTATTTTTCAAATGGTCATGTCTTTCATTTTTTAACCAGTTTATGAAATTATTATCTTAACCAATTTATGAAATTATTATTAACAGGCTCTCTTCAAGTCACAGCCTGTTACTCCTTTTTGAAGCTCTGCAGCATTTTTGAGACTTCTTTATTGTTAAACAACGAGGAAGAGGATTGCTGGAGACAAGCTAAATAAGGAAGCTGGAGTATCTTTTCTTTTTAATTCTGATGGAGAAACAAGGATAGAAAGCTGTTTATTTTATTATTTTTAAATAATCTGTAGCCTTGGATTTCTTTGTTGTGAGCAGCTGAAATTCTTTGATTTTTTTTTTTATGAATACTGATTGGCAATCAATATCCTTTGACCACTAGAGGGAGCCAAGAAGTTGGCCACATTTGTGCATATTTTTAGGAAAGTTTTTTGAAAATTCTCTGCAGAAAATTATTCATTTTATAGGCTAAAGATATAGATGATAGATAAAAAGAGCAAAAGATACAGTTATGTGTAGAAAATTATCAAGCCACTGAGACAATTTCACAAATATCTGACAATGTAAAGGACTTAACTGCAACTTTAGAATATAAACCTGACACCATTTTTTATTACAATGATGGCTTGAATACAACCCTTTTAGCGCAACTGAAACAAGAGTTTCTAGCAAATTCGCAACTCTCAAGAGGACATGTTTGGGACTTTTTCTTCACGAGATTGAGAATTCTTCAAAAAGGCATTCAATAGACTTTTCAGAGAAGAAGATTTTATTCTAGAAAAAGAGCTCCAAGAAAATTAAAACTTTCAACAGAACAAGAAAAGATTGCAAACCAGAGAAAACAATGTTCTGTTATTTAACAGATTTAACACATAATCAGAGTTGGAAGGGATCTTGTAGGTCATCTAGCCCACCCCTCCCCCTGCCCTGGGAGACCCTACACCATTTCTGACAAATGGCAGTCCAATCTCTTCTTAAAAGTCTCAAGTGATGACACTCCCATAACTTCCAAGGGCAAGCTGTTATATTGATTGATTGTTCTTACTGTCAGAAAGTTTTTCCTTATTTCCAGGTTAAATCTCTCCTTGTTCAGTTTCCATCCTTTATTCCTTGTCTGGCCTACAAGTGCTTTAGAAAATAGCTTGACCCCTTCCTCTCTGTGGCAGCCCCTCAAATATTGGAAGACTGCTATCATGTCTCTCCTGGTCCTTCTCTTCACTAGACTAGCCATGCCCAGTTCCTATAACCATTCTTCTTATGTTTTAGTCTCCAGTCCCCTAATCATCCTGGTTGCTCTTCTCTATTTAGGTAGGTGGATGAAAGATTACAAAAAGTGGGCTGTTTAAAGACCAAAGAATGAATGAAAATGATTGCTGTTTGATTAATATCTGTCTAGGAAAAAAGCCAGTTTGTTTAAGCAGCCTATTCATATGTATATATGGTAAAGGAGTGAATATATATTAAAAATCATAATTGATTTCATAGTTTATTGAAGAAAATTTGAGAGAATTAGTGAAGAAAACAAGGGATATTCACAATATATAAAACTAGGTGTCATCAACATAGTGATTCAGCATTTTGAATTCTTTACCATTAATCTCATGTAGGTGATGAACATCATAAGGGAATAGACGGAGCACTATAGGACACTATAGGCCAAGACTCATATGAACAAATTCTTCCAGAAGGTTACAAACTGCATACATTGGTGGGGGGCGGGGGATTGATCTGTTGGAAAAGAAAAGAGTGGAAGAAAATGGAAAATGTGTTTCCCAAACTTGGTGCTCCCAGATATTTTGGAATTAGCAACCAGGTTGTAGTAGGCAGGGCTATATAGGATGTAGTAGAAGAAGAAGAGGATCCTCATAAATGCTCTATTAATAATATTTTTCTCTGTAAGTTATTTTTTCAATCAAAGCATATAATAAATTTTCTTTTATTATATGTTTGCTTATTTATTACTTACTTTAAACTACATGTAGATTATTTTGTTGACCAAGAATAAATTAAATATATTATTTTTTACATTCATGACTTTAAGAATATGACTTATCAAAATAATGCTTAGTATAAATGAAACAATTACTGTAGTTCCATTTTGCTCTAAAAGCTTAGAGTATGGTAACAGTATACAAGCTATCCTTGGCTGACAATAGTTCGTTTAGTGACCGTTCAAAGTTACAATGGCACTGAAAAAGTGAGTTATGATCATTTTTCACCCTTACGACCACTGCTCACACCCCATGGTCACAGATTCAGAATTCAGGCGCTTGGCAACTGACTCATATTAATAACCGTTGCAGTATATCGGGGTCATTTGATTATCTTTTGTGACCTTCTGATAAGCAAAGTCAATGGGGAAGCCAGATTCACTTAACAACTGTGATACTAACTTAAGAACTGCAATGATTCACTTAACAACTGTGGCAAGTAAGGTTGTAAAATGAGGCAAGATTCACTTAAATGTTTTTGCATAGCAATATAAATTTTGGGCTCAATTTTCATAAGTCGAGTTTACCTGTAGTAAGCATTTCCATTGACTGCTAGCTAGGAATTATGGAAGATGAACAACAAGCTTTGCTTTCTTTTAACTGAAGGTTTACCCTATCGACCTATATCCCCACCATCTTCCTTCATTTACTTTGACCCCAAATTCCCAATGAAGTTACACAAAGCTAAGTAACTTTCATTAATAGCATATTTTTAAGGAAATACCGGTACTTAAAACTCAAATATCTAAAATTCCAAAGGCATTTATAAGTCTTTTTCAATTATTGAACTTATATGCAATTGTCTATATGGGATGAAACAGATAGAATGTATAATGTATTATTTGAATTGCTTTTGTTTTTAAGAGTGAAAAGAATTGAGAGGAATTCTGCAAGAACTGAGAGTTTAATACAGAAACTAAAAGGTTTAAGGTTAACACTCTTAGCAAAAGAAGATTTATCTTCAGTCAAGAAAGTTAATCCTGCTAAAAAAATTCCAGGTAAAAGTTGTTTGTAATTTAAAAAAAATCAGTTTTGTCTGACACCAGGAGCACTAACTAACTTCTGTATTATATTGCAATGTTAATATCTAAGATTGTTTTGAATAATTATATGCTCTCCATTACATTCTAATTTTAGCTGAGCCAAGATTGAGGGCCAAGACGAAATGGACAGTTGGATCGTGCCCTTTATACACTGCTTAAAAAAATAAAGGGAACACAAAAATAAGACATCCTAGATCTGAATGAATGAAATATTCTTATTAAATACTTTATTCATTACACAGTTGAATGTGCTGACAACAAAATCACACAAAAATTATCAATGGAAATCAAATTTAGCAACCCATGGAGGTCTGGATTTGGAGTTACACTCAAAATTAAAGTGGAAAAAAACACTACAGGCTGATCCAACTTTGATGTAATGTCCTTAAAACAAGTCAAAATGAGGCTTAGTAGTGTGTGTGGCCTCCACGTGCCTGTATGACCTCCCTACAATGCCTGGGCATGCTCCTGATGAGGTGGCGGATGGTCTCCTGAGGGATCTCCTCCCACACCTGGACTAAAGCATCCCCCAACTCCTGGACAGTCTGTGGTGCAACGTGGCATTGGTGGATGGAGTGAGACATGATGTCCCAGATGTGCTCAATTGGATTCAGGTCTGGGGAACAGGTGGGCCAGTCCATAACATCAATGCCTTCATCTTGCAGGAACTGCTGACACACTCCAGCCACATGAGGTCTAGCATTGCCTTGCATTAGGAAGAACCCAGGGCCAACCGCACCAGCATATGGTCTCACAAGGGGTCTGAGGATCTCATTCATCTTGGTACCTAATGGCAGTCAGGCTACCTCTGGCGAGCACATGGAGGGCTGTGTGGCCCCCTAAAGAAATGCCACCCCACACCATTACTGACCCACTGCCAAACCGGTCATGCTGGAGGATGTTGCAGGCAGCAGAACGTTCTCCACGGCATCTCCAGACCCTGTCATGTCTGTCACATGTGCTCAGTGTGAACCTGCTTTCATCTGTGAAAAGCACAGGGCGCCAATGGCGAATTTGCCAATCTTGGTGTTCTCTGGCAAATGCCAAACGTCCTGCACGGTGTTGGGCTTTATAAGCACAACCCCCACCTGTGGACGTCGGGCCCTCATACCACCCTCATGAGTCTGTTTCTGATCGTTTGAGCAGCCACATGCACATTTGTGGCCCGCTGGAGGTCATTTTGCAGGGCTCTGGCAGTGCTCCTGTCCCTCCTTGCACAAAGGCGGAGGTAGCGGTCCTGATGCTGGGTTGTTGCCCTCCTACGGCCTCCTCCACGTCTCCTGATGTACTGGCCTGTTTCCTGGTAGCGCCTCCATGCTATGGACACTACGCTGACAGACACAGCAAACCTTCTTGCCACAGCTCGCATTGATGTGCCATCCTGGATGAGCTGCACTACCTGAGCTACTTGTGTGGGTTGTAGACTCTGTCTCATGCTACCACTAGAGTGAAAGCACCGCCAGCATTCAAAAGTGACCAAACCATCAGCCAGAAAGCATAGGAATTGAGAAATGGTTTGTGGTCACCACCTGCAGAACCACTCCTTTATTGGGGATGTCTTGCTAACTGCCTATGCTTTCCACCTGTTGTCTATTCCATTTGCACAACAGCATGTGAAATTGATTGTCAATCAGTGTTGCTGCCTAAGTGGGCAATTTGATTTCACAGAAGTGTGATTGACTTGGAGTTACATTGTGTTGTTTAAGTGTTCCCTTTATTTTTTTGAGCAGTGTATTTTTTTAAATGGATGAATACTCAGGATGAAACTTAAATTAACATATGCAATATATGAAAGAGTAAAATGCATACTCTGCATAGCAGACTCAATTCTACTCTTTCATATATTGCATGTGATAGTTAAGCAAACCTCTCTGCTGACTTTGAAGTTTGGTTTATAATAACAAAATGCTTTTTTGTTATAACAGAATTTGTATACCGATAGTTTGAGGCAGGGGAAGGTCAGTCCCCTTACCCGGTTCCTGTGTGTGTGAGAGAGAAACAGAAGAGAGAAAGAGAAACGGTGAAGCAGAAACTCTTTCAAACAGCGTTGCCGTTTCTCTCTCTGTGTCTTTCTGTCTCTCTGTCTGTCTGTCTCTCTCTCTCTCTCTCTCTCACACACACACACACACACACACTTGATTGCTTGAAAAGGACAGGCTGCGCTTTGCTTCTACCATGAGACTCTCCCCCCAAGCCTTCAGTGTATCCCAGGATTGCAACGCTGAAGGCTCGGCAGGAAAATGGGAAGGGGGATTTTCCTGCCTGTCCTCCTTTTCTCAGTCTGTGCTGAGCTTAAGAAAAGTACAGTCAGGAAAATCCCCCTACCCATTTTCTTGCCGGATGTTCCCACTTCCAAGCCTTCAGCATATCCCAGGATTGCAACGCTGAAGGCTCAGCAGGAAAATGTTGTTTAGAAAAGACATGCAGGCCCAGATCAGCTGTTTTGTGGACAACGTTCAGACTCTGAAAGCGGTGCAGATCAGCTGTTTACTGAGCCATGGAGGCGCTAAGTGGGAGGGGCAGCTCGCAGCCCCCACCCTTCTCAGTATGGGGAAAAATAGGGAAAAATATAAGACCTCCCTGAAATTAAGACCTGCTGGCTTTTGTGGTGAAAAAATATAAGACTCAGTCTTATTTTCAGGGAAACACGGTAGTTTGAATTTATATACTATCAGTATGATCATTGATGGAAACTTTCCTCCCTTTTTTCAATAGGTCTTAACTTGAAAGACTCTCTTGATATAGATGCCCTTTCTAACCACTTAGATCATCTACAACAAAGGTTGAAGGAGTTGAAAGAAGACATGCTGACAAAATACATTCCCATAGAAAACACAGCCAATGTTGAAGGAGACATGAATCACGCTCTTCAAAAGCGAAATAGGGCTGAAAAAACTAATGAAAACCTGAAGTTTTGGTATAAAGGTCCCTTTTACAATATGCACTTACTTATTTGAAGTATTTCACTTTCAATTAATTTTTTGAATAGAGAGAATAGCTATAATAATTTTGTCCACTTTATTTTCATCAGTTTAAAGCAATGACTTAGAATAGATCCTAGAATTGTAATTTCTAAAATTGTATGTTCTGTTTTAGCAACTGTGGTCAGATTAGCACTCAACAGAAACTCAACAACCCTCCACTGGAACACAGCAGTCATTAATAGGTTTAATGGGAAAAATCAGTGCATAGAAGACATACTAATTCCAGGCATTTGGGTCAGGATGTTAGGTGATTTCTCTATGTATTTCTCTTAAAATGTGTTTATTATTTTATCCATGATGCTAGGAGTTCTTTGCCATCCAAAGTGACCATTGTGAGATGAGTGGCCAAATAAATAAATATTTTCCATATTTAAAGCTTGGTTCCTGGAATTCCTAATACTATTAAATATAATAATTATTATCTAATAATAATTTACAATAATAGATTTTTATGAAACAACCAGTTGAAGTTTATTGGCAACATACATTACAGTACAAAATACCCCCACATAAAATCTGAGAAAGCCAGTCAGTCAGAATAACTAGTATTTGATTAATAGATCGGTGATATGATGTAATATTAATAACTTTGATAATTAAAAATAAATTTAATTAGTATGTTTTGTGTAAGAGCTTGTTCATGTATTATATCATGAATGTACATTCCACTAAAATATCAGAAGAGCCTGCTGAATCAGGCCAACGCCCAGTATTTTGTTTTTCACAGTTGACAATCAAATTCTTTTGGATGCTTGCAAACAGAAAAAAAAAACAGAATTATTTTTTCCACCATTGTTCTTTTTAACTAAATGTGGAACTAAAGTTAATATTGTGAATGAACCCACTTAATCAAATAGAAGTAAATACAGTCTAGCAAGGGACTTTCTGATAATATGCATATGAAACCTATTTTTAACATGGAGATTTGCCAGTATAGGAAACTCTTCAAATCAGTTAATACTTCTTGCAACCATAATTGTAGTGTAGTTATGTATGTGTATATTACGTGTCACTGACAAATTTAGACATTGGGGAAATTCTTTTTCTCAGGAAGCATATCTTGTGTTTTTATACAACAGAATAAAATAATATGGTAAGGACAATCTTGGAGAATTCAAACTACAGGGGATACTGATATAGTCACATTTTAACCAATATTCTCCTTTTTATAGTTTTTATCGGCTAACTCTGTTTGCAAGTGTGATTGCTATCTGGGAGAATACGGACAAGAATATTGACACACTGCAGCTGCTCATCCATCAAATGATAGAAAATGAGAAACTTGCAAAAGGTAAAAAAACACATTAGACTTCATCTTTTTACAACAAATCAGAAAAAATACATATTTCTGGTGGTACGCTAAAGTAAATGTGTCTCTGTTATTCTGGAAAAACACTGTGCCATTTATTTGCAGAAATAGGGCTTATGTTGTTTTTACTGTTCTTTATTGGGCTTTCTTATCTATACCTATATTGTGGGAACTGCATTGATTGCCAATAGATTTCTGGATGCATTTTGTAGTGTGCTGATTACAACCTATAAAAGCGTTTGTAGCATAGGTCCTTGTTATCTGTGAGACTGTCCTAAAAATCATTAACATTTTAATAAACAGTAAAAATTAATGCAAATTAAATTACCGTATATACTCGAGTATAAGTCAACCCGAATATAAGCCGAGGCACCTAATTTTACACAAAAAACTGGGAAAACTTATTGACTCGAGTATAAGCCGAGGGTGGGAAATGCAGCAGCTACTGGTAAATTTCAAAAATAAAAATAATTAATTTGGGAAACGATCTCACTATCATGAAAGGTTTAATTGATTCACTAACCCAAAAGAAGAAGATGATGATGACAGCGGGACGCAGGAGTCACTCTCTTCCCCTCCCTCGGAGGCCCCCTGAGTCAGGAGTCGCTACCGCCGGCGCAGCCCCAGTCCCACGTCGCCTCAGGAAGGAAAGACAAAAAGGAAGAGCCGCGGCAGCGCTTTGCAACAGCAGCAGCGGCACCGGAGGCTCAGGCTCAGCGGCTCCTGGTTTTGCCCCACCCTTCCCAAGGCAACGCGGGACCGGAGCCGCACTGGCGGCAGCAACTCCCGACAGCCCCAGCCAGACACCTGAGCGGAGATGTAGGGAGAAGGCAAAAGCGACGGAAGATCCTTCAGGGGAAACTGAGGGGGAGACTCACCCTTGGTCCAGATGAGCCCCCTTCCCCGCCCCTAAGGAAGCAGAGGCAGCCAGCAAGGGCAGGCAAGCCCCACTTCACGGACTCTGTCCGTCCTAGCTCCCACCCAAAGCCACGAAGTCCCCCAATCGCGCAGCCCAGAATTGCCCTCCCCTCAGGGGGCAGCAACGACGCCCGGTTTTTCCCGAGACAAGAAGCTCCGCCGTGCAATGAAAGCACCCTGGCTCTAGGCTCGCGGGCCCAGAAAACAACGCGAGCCGAGGTGGCTTCGGCTCCGCTCGGCTTCTCCAACATCCGGCACCGCCCTGTTCTATGTGC